TATTTTTTTCAGGATGATCTCAAAAACTTTTTTTAAATTATTCCACTCCACTTAAACTTGCTTCTAAAACAAGCTTAACAAGAATAATATTGCATTCTTGAAATTCTTTGCAGAACAATGGACAACATTCTTGGAAATAGATTATTTTCGTAGTTGGAGATGCTGAACGTCAAATATCAGACTTAAAGTGGAAATTTTATTAAAGTATAGAGTTGATAGTTCAGTTATACCATCGACAAACCGACATGAATGACCATACAAAGTACTATCAAATTTCTGATCAAAGCACAAAACTGACATCTGCCGCCGTGTTCGCGAAAAATGTGTATCCTAGCCACGAACACGTGTACAAAATGTATGAGTTGGTTCGTGTCTAATCTATTCCGAGCAAATTATTTTTATCTAGATAACAAATGTCTATGGTTTTGACAGATGGGATCGCTGCACATTTGAATCCGCCGTTATGGATTATCGATCAAGAGTTATTAAGTTTAAGTTTCATGTCGGTTTGTCGGTGGTTGTACTACGGCATTGTAAAAATTGTATATAGAAATTAAAAAGGGAGTTTAAAACAATTTTGAGGAATGTACGATTCGGGTAGAGCATCCGTTTTACCAAACTCATCCGTTGATGAGGGATAGTGAGGGGTGTTTCACCCCGCCACAGTGCAAAAGGGATAATCGCCAATTCGTGTATGTGCCTCCGATGTGCGGAAACAGTTCTATCAATTGTTTCACACTCAAATCGCCATCTGCCGTGAACATTTACCAGATTGCTCTACCTTATTCGACATTTTATTACCTTCCTAAAAATGTCCTTTGCTCGCTTTCTACTTCTACTTTCTATGTACAATTTTCACACTACCGTACTACAACGGAACTATCAACTCTATGCTTTCATCTCCTCATCTATCGTTTAAAATGTTCACTTTAAGTCTGATATTTTACGCTAAGCATCTCTAACTATGCAAATCGATAACAACTTCACGCATGAATTAATAAATCATAATTAGTTAAAGTAGATTATATTCGATTTTTTAATTATTCTTCCAGGATTTCCATGAAGGTTCTTCCCATAAATCCATTTAAAATTTAAAGGGCGAACACGAAATGATTGCGACACATTCAACAGGGCATAACTTTTTTACCATTGGGTAAAAATCAACCAAATTTTGCACACTTTCTCATTGATGTGTATTGTGTACATGCTGTCAAACTCGAAGTCGTGTTTTTCAATTCAACTAAAATGGCAGTTGGGAAAAATATTGAACATTCACCATTCAACCGTCTCCAGAGTGTTGAAGCGGTTCCAGGAGCGGTTGACGTTGGACCACGGCAAAGGAGCTGGAAGAAAACCGGGACCGGAGAACAAAAAGACGGAGGGAAAGGTGAAGCGGATGATTAAAGCAAATCCCAACGTCTCAAGCCGTGATTTGGCTAAAAAAATCGGCATGTCGAAAGAAAATGTCGAAGTTCGCCTCCAAATATCTCATTTGGCAGGCCATTTGCTCTTGCGGACTGAGGAGTGAGCCTTTCGTGACAAAGGGCACAGTAAATGGCGAGATCTACAAATCTGAGTGCCTCGAGAAGCGCCTTTTGCCACTATTCTAAAAATGTCCTGGAGTGGTATGAGGCCAATTCTGTCCATTTTGTTCCAAAGGATATGAATCCGCCAAACTGTCCGGAGCTACGCCCGGTGGAGCAGTACTGGGCAATAATGAAGCGGGAACTTCGGAAGAGCAAGAAGACAGTCAAAGACGAGAAGGACATGTTAAGAAAATGGAAAAAAAAAACTGAGAAACTGGTACCGGATGACACTGTAAAGACTTTGATGGAGTGCATCAAGCGAAAATGCGTTCAATTTTACACTCAAGGCTCCATCGATTAACTTTTCTTTTGATTTTTGAAGTAAATATATGTATAAAACTACCCTAAAATTTTGGTTTGATTCTAAACATTATAAGAAAATTGGCATGACATTTTCGGTGTCGCAATAATTTCGTGTTCGCCCTTTACTTGAATTCTCCTTAGAATTTCCATTAACCTCAGAAATATCAGAAATTTCTGCTTAAAATAATCTTGGAATAATCTTCTCCTTAGAATTCCTTTGGTATTTTCTCAGAATTCTCAAAACAAAAACCCATCTCAGAATACCCTTGAAACTCTTCGAAGAATTCCATTGAGATTGAACCCTCAAAAGCCGATTCCATTTGAATTCTTCTCGGAATTTATTTCAAACTCCTAGAGTTCTCTTGGAAGTATCCTCAGAAATCATCCCAGAATTCTTTTATAACTTCCTTAGTGCCAAGTACTCAATTTAAAAATGTAGTTGATATTTTTTCCATTTCACTCTATTTTAGTTGTGAAAAAGTTACTTTAGGGACTATTTATATGGAAATAGTGACTTTAGTGTGAAAAGTGACTTTTCAGTGACTGACTTCAAAATAGCGACAAAGTCACTAAAAAGTGACCTGCTACCATCCCTACGTATGAGACAATGTTGTAGGAAACTGGATTGTCTTTTCAGATGAAATACACACTAATACACAGCAAAGCATTCGACACAATCGACATACCATAATTACTCTTCAAACTGCAGAAAGTAGGAATGGAAGCCGGACTTTTGAACTGGCTCAAGTCCTACTTTCAAACCGTAAGCAAATTGTACCCTTTCAAAACAAATTTTCAGTACCAATTCTAGTCACCTATGGGATCCCCTAGGGATCTCATTTGGGTCCGTTTCTTTTTATTTTGTACGTAAACGACATTTCCTTCATATTTAAGAACATTAAAGTACTTGTATATGCAGGCGACATGAAGTTCTTCATAGAAATAATAAATGTCTCCGATGCAGGACCATATTCTAGAAGCAATAAATCTATTCTACACTTGGTGTAGCAAAAGTCTACTTTAACTCAACGTAAAAAATGTATCGCAGTAACATTTAGTTGAAAATTTTTGACCCCTTGCATAAACATACATTTATAAAACGAATTAGTAGTCGTATGTAAAATTGTAAGGTACTTAGGCGTAATACTGGACACCAAACTTATATTTGTAGAACATTATAATAAAATCATAAGCATATAAAATGGCATGCTGGGCTTCATTGAGAGGTTCTACTACAATTTTCAGGACCCATACAATATAAAATTACTGTACACTACATATGTAAGACCTATTCTGGAATACTGCCACATAATTTGGAGCCCATAAATTGCCATACACGAAGAACGCATAGCATCTGCCCAAAAGCAATTTCTTTTGTATGCTCTTCGACGACTAAATTGGACTGCACACTACCATCATATGAAGCACGCTGCATGCTCATCAATCTACAAACACTAAACGAACGGCGTGAATTTGCAATGCTTTTCTTTATCAATGACATTATTTATCACCGCATAGAATTTGCAGCAATGCTCTCACCTCTTAGAACTCAAAAATTATTCTATGAAAACACATGCAGAACAATGATGCACCTGTATATTTAACATAAATTGCGAAGAAATTGACATCACTATGTCCAAAAACCAAATAAAATAATGCATAGCATGTAAGTAAAACATTGGAAACATTGTCGTCCTTTGCTTGACGAAATAAATAAATAAATACATCCATTACCCTATGCCTGCATCTTCTTTCTCGACTCTCGGCGTAGTGTTCTTTGAAGCACTTCCAAAGCTATTAATTTAGAGATTTCTATGTCAACTGAATTTGTATATTGTATGGCAAGCAAAATGATACTATATGTTCAGGGAAGTCGCGACAATTTACAACCTGGAAGATTGTCTAGATCGGACTGGGAATCGAACCTGCGGCCTTCGGCCTGGTTATACCATAACTAGCCTACAATTACAGATTTTGAAATTATTTCCTCAATACGCCCCTGGAAATCTTTGCCCTAATTCCTTCTCTCCGCGAGAAACTGTTGGAAAATGTGATAATTTTCCTCAACATAGCTGTTGTTCCGATCGACTGACTTTCGGATAAACCCTCCACCGGTCGGGCAAACCGCTGCAAGCAACGAGTCACGTACGACACAGAGTGATGTTTCCATACACTCTTTAATGATCTTTTCCACTTAGAAGATGCTCAAATCCCGTATGGACATATGAGAATGCGATGTGAGCAATGCGATTTTTCTCTTCGGCTCCTTCAATCGGTCCACTTGAAGTGTTCATGCAGCACTAAAACCAAATGCTTTCAACTCATAATGACACCGAGGCGGTTGGTGGGAGGTGGGTGGAAGCCCGCGCTGTACTCTTCTCTGCAACGCCACATGTTTTTTAATAGTATCATTTATCACAAATGAAAGACGACCACGGCGGCGGTGAAGACGAAGACGCGCGTGGTGAACAGGTTTCGGCACCGGGTAGGACGAAAAAAAAAAAGAAAAACATGTTGTCTTTCCCTTTGGTTGAACGTTTTTTTTTTCTACGCTCTTTGTGAAAGATGAATCGACTTTTGCGGTTTGGCGCACATGCCTACCCACCTACCTACACACACACACGGGATGAGCATGACTAGAACGCCGCTGGCTTGACTGGGCTGGCCTATAAAGAGAGAAGATCTCACATCAAAGACTTGACATGAAAGAAAATACTTCGAAATCCGTTCAAATCCGTGTGTCTTGTTAGAAATTAATGACTTTGTGACAATGGAACCAACTTGCGATGGGAATAAAAGATCAAACATTCGGCTTCAACAGTTACTTTCATGTCCCGCTTATGTATCACCCCTCGCACATAATCAGTCCGCAGCTGTCAACCCCCTGCCATGATATACCCTTCACTCGGTTATTGATCACCAGCTGACATGTAATCCTTTCGAAAGAGTGTGTTGACCAGCTGGTCTTGCCGCCACGCCACATAAAAGCGTTGTTTGCGCCACTGTTCACAAAATGATCTGCAATTTATCAACCAAAACTCTACGTTGGATCTCGATCACACTAATCACATGTTTCTCTCTTCTTGCTCTCCCCCTCTCTATCTCGTACAGTGCTCCAGGAATGCGCAACCGACTCGGAGGAGCTGATCTACCCGGTCCGAGCGCCGTCCGCCTGCAGTGCACCGCCGGATCTACTGCTGACCAGCGATCGGGAGCAGATGATGAAAGTGAAAAGTTCCAAGCAACAGCAGCAATCATCACATAATCATCAATCATCACAGCAGCAGCAGAATCTTGGGCATCATCATAAGAACACTTCAATGGCTGGTGGTCAACAGCAACAGCAGCAGCACAATTCGAAGGAATCGTCTTTTCGGAAGTGTTCTGGGAGGACGGCAACCGTCAAAAGTGATCCCGATCGGGTGCGGTTGGAGGTAAGCAAGATTTACATTCAAACAAATTCATTTATCAAGCCTGAAAAATCAAGCCTGCATGCCATTATGAAGTGATTGCACATCATTATCGTGATCAATCAACCGAGTGAACCAGTTACTACAGGATGGCTTTATTAAAATAATATAAATTATCCCGATTAGTCATGTGCGAAATTCATCAGTACCGATATTTCCTACATGAAAAGCAAAAACTACATCACAAAACCAAAGCCACAGCCACCCACCAATCCCGAGCACGCCACAGCCTCGCACTCAATTTGCGGTTGTGGACTCACCACTCTACTCATCGTAATCCATAATCTCTCCATTTATTCGTTCGAAAATGGGAAATTTAAGCCATAGGTACGGGCCCCCACCTTACACAATCTCTATCTATCTGTCTGTCCGTCTGTCAGCCATCCCAGCTACCCAGATAGGACCCGGAATATGGGCCGGTTCGATTACTATACACCGCTCCAAAACTCATTCATATGCGCTGTATGCTATAAATGAGAGTAGGCATGTATTTACGCAAATCTCTTCACGAGCTTCGATCCGTCAAGCTGGGGGTCAGAGGAGGGAACTGGGTGCCAACGATGCGAAGCGCGCCTTATCAAACATTTCCGGATGGCGTTTCGCTTTGATGTGTGCTTTATTTATTGGGCTTCGATTCGGTTGGCGCTATCAAAACACATTTATAGAACGCCGGTGATTATGGCTGGAACTGTCTCTCACAGCAATTGTATTGTTGGGCTGGCGGCAGCTCTGTCACGACCGACAGCGGTGTTCGCCAAATACGATGAGCAATGCAATGATAATAATAGTCCGGCTGGCAGCGGTGTTATCAGAGCAGGTTTGCGAGAATTGCTTGCAGGAGTGTGGTTCAGGGTGGGGCCAATTTGTAAATTAACTGGGAACAACGAATTTAAGGTCTGCTTTCTGCTGCAACCAAATTTTAACAACCACCTAAGCTAAATTAAATGTTATGCTTGTGATCCGGGTTGTGAATGGATAACCGTCGTCTAACGCCTACAATCAGCGTTGCCAGGTCATTTTCTGAAAAATCTGGACCAGTTAGTATATACAATCTGGAAAAATCTGGAAGGCTCCAAAAAATCCTGATTTTAACATAATGCTATTGAAATCAAAGTGATGTGCCAATCTCCCGTAAAAATCGGCCATTATGATCATCTGGAATTTATTGAAAGTAATTCTTGTCAGTAGTAAAATTACCAGGCTGAAGTGGAAATCAAAGTAGTTTAGGTAAACTGTGTGTGAGTACCACGATGTTAGTTGCATTCACACATAGTTTACCTAAACTACAGGTAACTCAAATATTTGCATAATTTCATTATACAACTAAAATGAAAGTCTGAAAGCGGAATTTATATAGTTAGTCTGAATTTACTTGGAACTCTTTACAGGATATCTTCGTCCTTTTTTTAGAGTTCCACTCGAATCATCCTAGAATTCCATCATACTTCTTTTCTGGATTCCCCTAAAATAATCTTGATATTATCCAAACTTTGTCAGTAACATTCTAAGAGTTCTTAGCATTATCTCTCGTAATCTCTTATAAATCACTCTTCCATTCCACAATTCCCTCAAACTGGTAATAGTTTCCAAGAATTGGCATAATTTTGTTTTCATATTTCTCTATGAAATTCTCTTAGAATATTCTTAATAATTTACTTGGTACACTCTTCAGAATGACCGTCACACTATTCTCAGACTTATCCAATAATTCCTTTTCAGCTGTTTTGTAGGTAAGGTCAGAATTGTTTTGAAATCCTCTTCAGTATTTGCTAAGTACTCAAATACTTTGCCAAAATGGCATTGAAAGTCTCCCAGAAATTGCCAGATGTTCTTTTGGCATAATTCTGATTAAATTTCTTAAATGTTAGAAAAATGAATCTCCTTCAAAACATTGGACAGAATGTCATTGAAATTATTCTCACGGTTCGTATCAACATACTCATTAAATTTCATCTTAAGAATTTTCTTTGATTTCTCTTCCGAATTCCACTTCAATTTTTCACAAAATCTCCATGCAATTGTCATCAGAGACATTGTCTTCAACCAGAGGTTGCACATATTGAAAACTTAACACTAGAAAACTGACAACACACCACACCCAGTAGACCAGTAGGGAAATTTTCAGGTTGGGGAAAGTTCCACTAGCTGGAACGGGAATCGAACCCTCACCACGAAGCTCACAAAGACGGATGGAACTCTACTCAGAATTAACATGAAATTCTCCTTTAGTTTCGCAAAGAATTTGCCTCACGCTTCACTGTAAACTATTATCAGAATTGCCTTGAAATTCTGAAATTCTAGGGCAATTTAGAATTCTAAAGATATTCAGACTGCTGTAACTCAATATTTACTAAGATTTAAAAAAAAATGCTAAAAATTATCAGATGCCTTTAAAATTTTCCTTATGAATTATGCTCAAAAATCGCACAAACATACTTCATACACCAAAGTCCTGATGGTTGTCTAGATTCAAAAGCCTTGCTAATTTGCCAAGGCTCAATTTATTGTTTTCAATCCTGAACAGTTTTCGATTTCTCTTAATTAAAAATTTATGAAAATTCCTTCAAATTGAAATTTTGATTTTTTTTTAAATAAAAAAAATCTAAATAAAAACTCTAACTAAACAAACATTCAGGCCATTTTTTTTAAAAGTTTGATGATTTTTGTCAGCAAATAATCTTTAGGAAATGTCTCCATTTTCATGATTCTGCAACCCATTAACATGCAAATATGTTGCAACAATGCCCTGTACGATGTTGCAATAATTTCCAACGTTGATGGCCTTTAATAATTAAAGTAGCTTGACTTTTTTTTATTACAGTGTAAATCTATTACAATGAAATTTTGAAAGCACGAGATGTTTTATAAATCTGGGAAAATCTGGATCATATTATAAAAGTCAGGAAATATACGTGATCCGTCTTTGTATCTGGCCAGATGACAGAAAATCTGTAAAATCCAGATAAATCTGGAATACTGGCAACGCTGCCTACAATGCAAATTCACCATGTTGCAGACTTTAACGCTGATGTTATCGATGGTTATCGATAACCACCCCCACATGTTAGGGCATAACTTCAGCAACACACTTAGAAAAATTGGTGTAAATCTAGGTGCTCTGAGACTGACATATACGAGCGACAATTTTGACATAAAATTGAGTCATGATAACAGCTCAATCAAACGTACTTTCGAACTTTTCAGTCTCGGAGCACTTAAATGGCGTTCTTGAACATTTTCAGAAAAATTGTTGAACGGAAACGGGATTTCTGATCGAAATAACATCTAAAACAAAGTTGTGGATGAAAATATTATCTATCTGAGAAAAATAAACAAAAATAGTTTTTCTTTTTAAATTAATTTTATACATTTTTTTTAAATGATCATAACCCAAATATCTTTAAATTCCCTAGCTGATTTTCAAATTTTCTTTAAAAAAAAATCGTATGAAACATGCAAACATCGGTAGTTCTCAAAACTATGAACACTCAAAAACTTTTACGATTTTTGCTAATTTTCAAGCCTCCATAATTTTAAACATTACAGAAGTTTGCATTTTTCATTTGCTTCTTTTTTGGATTTTTTATGAAGATCAAATGAACAAACAAATGACGTTCTCAAATATTCTTCCAAGACTACAGATTGATTAGGAAGTATTCAAAAATTATCCAGCGAATCTAAGATTTCAGTCAAGTGTAGATATTTTTTCAGGACATACATTATTTACATTATACCTAAGAAGACTGACAACTCTCCTATTTTCTTGAACAACCGGCACAATCGCGTCATCTGCCGCTCAAAGGTAAATGCTCCGAACGACTTGGAAAGCAAAGGTTCCAACCTCAGAAGAAAGGTTTGTGTAATTGTTCATTTTCCTATGCGTTGCTTCCACCTTCGCTCGAGCGCAGCGCTACTAAGTCTGTCGCTTGGATTCAGGCAACGTTGCCAGTCTTCTTGATATGTTGTCTTCGATTATACCCAAGCTTGATGCACCTGGTGTCAAAATATAAGAAAAATATGATACCGTAAAACGGGGTATCTTTGATAATGCGGGAAACTTTGATAGGAGAATATAATGATTAAATTCACTCTCTGCACTATTTCCGAATTGGGAACATTAATTTTATGCTGTAGCTTAGGGTATTATCACAAAGGCTCGAAAACATTGGTGACGAACCTGCTATTGCAATTTTTCAGTGTATTACATGGCAACACTACCATAGAGGTATCTCTAAGACCAGAAGGTCCCGAAGAAACGAGCTCAACTTTTTGCCTCAGCTCTGGTACTATCTTCGGTCCCAAGCTAATCGATTCACTCCTCGAAACATAGGAAATTCCACTAACCCCTCATTTTATCAGTCAAACTTTCATAGCGAATCAAAACAAACATAGTGTAGTACTGGAATTCATACTAGAATGGGGTACTTTAGTCGATTTGCTTGGGACCAATAGGCTAGTCAAGTAGTGAGCCAATTTAAAATCGTTAGTTTCGTATTGATTGTTTGCACTACTACTGGATTGTACTTGAATATTCACCAAATGTACTAGAATGTTTTGGTTCTATCTCTTTCACTCTACTCAAAACTGAAATACATACAAAAAATGACCAAATGATACACTCTTTGCACACAAGCCTCAGCCCATCTGGTGGCTGATGGCACAAGCTTCTAAGAAAATTCTATTACAGCGAACCACATTATTTAAATTGATTTCTTCGTCGCTTCATTTGTGGTATTATCTTTGATAGTATGTTTTACATATTTTTCAACTATCTGAAATCACAATGTTCTTGATTTTTTCCTCAAAAGGCACTCAAGCAATCACTTATTACATGTATTTTCGATATAGCCATCACAAATTCAATGTTGTCTTCTTATTGCTTAAGATGTTACTGATTATAAACTTTTTTAAAGCTTCATATTTCTTGAACTATATTATTTGAGATTCACGCATGTTCTTAAACA